ATTCTTTTTAAAGTCGGCTATCATAAATCTTAGCTTTCTTACAAAGTTTCTATTCTGCTTTTCAAATGACACATAACCTTGTAAAGTAATGTAGACCGAAGTAGAGAAATTACAGCTCTAGTAAAATTAATGCATAACATCATCAATATTAAAACAATTCTTTTTTTTGTTCCCTTTCAAAGAATAGCAACTATATCACCAATACAAGTCCAAAATCTTTCTGCTCCTGAATCCTCACAACCGAGATTGTTACAGGCAGAATTTACGAGTTAACGCTTATTCGAAATCTCATCAGATTTCTATAGCTTTTCGAAACATTGACAAGAATCAGCAATATTGTTTTTTGCAAATTTTATGAGGGAGACAAATAATATCAAGAGTTTTAGCACTCTGTTGCCTCTTGTCTTGTGACAGCAGTTGTGACCACTAAAAGAACCCCAAATGTCCAAAGGTCCTTAACGTCGAGCAAATGTGTCGAGAATCCATGATAAAACTGCTTCCAAATGCATAAAGTTTTCTAATTAGTCTTTCATTATAAATAAAACAAATAAACAAATAAAATGATGTTTAAATATAGATGAATAATATGCTTCAGGAACAGAACATGTCTCTTTAGAGTTCAAAATATTCAAAATTTATTATGTGTTATGTTAAATAAAAATATTACTTCTAAACAAGGAAACTCAGAATTTACTCATAATAAGGTGTTTTTTTTTTTGTTTTTTTTTGTTTTTTTTTTTTTTTAATGGGGGTTGGGGGTATAGTTCTTTTTTGTTTCCTTACTATATGTACATGTACTTGTCTTAATATTGTCTGATTGTACTTAATGAAGGATAAAAAACAACAAAAACGTGTACATTAGCATTGAACCTCTAGAGTTAAATCTACTCACGACAATTAATTTTACAGACAGACAGACGGACATTATAGTTCAAATTTTTGTTCCTTTTCCATTAAATCAATACATTCACTTTATAAATCAAATTCCCATACAAAGGACAAGATAAGCTAAGACCCCTTTTTGGCCCCTGGTTTGGGATGTCTTTTAGATTGATGTAACATTTTATCTCTAAAAACCTGTTGTCACCCCTGCAAAAAAATGAGTATTGGTTCTAAGTTATGGGATACACAAAGGTCAGGAACTATGTTAATTTCCGAATTTTCTCATTTAATATATGCAATTTTTCATAGATTTTATAGCACATTTTGTTTCAGAAAACATAGAGCACAAGCTTGCCTATCTACCAAATTTATATATTTCATACACTAGTATCAGATGCATCTTGTGTATAAAAATCTCCGATAGGTAATCTTGTGCTCTATGTTTCCCAAAGTGAAAAGTATCTCAAATTTGACAAAATTCCACCAGAACTGAGGAAATTCGGGGAATGTCCAACTTCTACATCTTCTTGTGGCCTCCGTGTAAGTTTTGAATCAAAATTAGTGCTGCTTTTAAAACAAGCATCATTTTTAGTTCTAAACAACAAACTAACACAGTTTTAATTGTGTTCTGATTTTTACATCAAATAAGGGGCCAGATTCCGCCCTTACCATACCTTGTCCTTTATTGCAAAATCCGAGAAAATTTATAAATTCTTTAAACTTTTTATCCTCTCGCGCAACTAGTTGCGGAGGGGATATAGCATCGCTACTGTGCGTATGTGTGTGTGTGAGTGTGTCCGTTACAGCTTGTGGGCAAGATTTAAAGAGAACCTTTGGACTATCAAATCTCAGCTTCCACATACTTATGTGGCAAAAGGACGAACCCTATTCATTTTCAAATTAATCGGTAAAATATTTTTTTAAAATATCGCGATTTTACTACCTTCAAACCCTGAAATATGTACGACCGGACAATACTCACTTCCGCTTAATCAACCTGGAAAATTAGGTTCGCTTCGACAGACTCGCTTCAGTAAGTTCTACTTTGTAATTGCGTATTGTCATATTATTGTGCGTATCTTGAGACAGTCTGTATGAATAAAAAGTGTCATCTCTGACGCTGAGTAATTGAAATAATTTGATGAATGTCGTGGTTTCATTACCAAATTTCCACAGGTGTCTGTTTACAACATGGATTTTATTCTTGAGGCGCATGTAATTCCTGAAAGCTATAAAAGCATTTCACAAGTTTCAGTGACCTCTCAACACCGGTATATTGTCATTTTTTATTTGGAAGAAATATTCCTTCCGCGGGTATTCTAAGATTTTATGCATATTGCTTGCAACTTTGAGATTTACATAGGTAGGTAGGTTACTGAAACTTAGAGCATATGTGATATGTTTCTGCTAGGAATAAGGGAGACTGTCCAATTACGTATGCATGTTATCCCCCCTCCCCCCACGATGTTATGCACTTTGATTTAAAAATGCCCCCCTCAAGATGATTTTGTTAAAAAAAATAATTTGTGCTGCAATATATTTTATTTTCTTTACCTTGAAATATTTTAAACCTAACTAGTTGATTGTATCTTCATTAACGTCCCTCTTGAGAATTTTGCCATAACCGGTGAAGTGCCTGCCGCGAAGAGATGCTCCGCTTAGCGGTGCTCTTGTTAAATATGTTAACTATTATGGTCAGATTTCAATCATTGATCTTTAACCTCGTATTATTTTCAATTTTAACCATAGAATTTTCTACGACCGGACGGAAATAATTGCTTGATAATACATCTGTCCAAAAAAGTACAAATTAGCCGTAGGGTAGGATGGTGCATTAATTTCAATTTTTTATTGTCTTGTCACTCCACTATATTTCCATGCAATCGATGTCTATTTCGAAAATGACCAGAGACAGATCATTGCATTGACATTCTGGAAGCAAAACAGGAGGAAATGCCCAGATCTGCTCAAGCTCATAATTAAAAAGAGGTCATAAACATTTCTTCTGTCAAATTGGCAAATATCGCTCATTTACTTCAAAACTACTTTTATACGGTCTGAATTATATTTTGCTTCGTAAAGACTGTGTCAAAACGGAAGGTCAAAAGTGTAGACGTAGGATTATTGCACCTGTGTAACGTTTGACACATATGTGTTTCAGGGGCAAGATGCATCAATCAGATATCAAGATATAAGAGTTCAACACAATTATAAAAACAAATTGCATAAAAATAAAAATATAACAGAATTTCCGATGGAATACATATCAGACGCAAGCTCTTAAGATAAGAATAAACATAGATGCTTGACACAAGTGGTTGAACTTTAAACCTGATAGACTCCTTGAGGGTTTATAGTTTGCTTTCACTTTCACTTGTTTATCGGAAAATCTATTTGGTAAGAATATAGGAGCAACCATTCGTAAGTGACTGATCAAAGGTCAGTCGTATGTATTAATTACTTACAAGGAATAAAAGAATTCACTCAAGAAATAAAAAGAAAGTACAAAAAGAGATAATGAATCTGCATTTCAACATTAAAGTGTTAGAGGACAGAATAACATTTGGATGAATTCACGGTTTAATTTTTTTGAAAATTGTCAACAATAGGTATTTTTATTCATCTGTCAGCTCAAGACATTGCAGCTCTGTAATTTCCAGGGGTTCGTGTTTTATGACCTCTAAACATATTTGTATTGTTTATAGATTTTTCGTAATCTTCATCTTTGTTTCATTTTTACATGTATTTCCCAGTAAATTTGAAGATGAGAAAATTAAAGGGTATGACACAATGTTGTCAGACATGAATATTTTCAAACTGTAGACGGTAATGACCATCTGACAACTAAACCACCTAAATGACAAACGGAATGAATCAAGCTATCTATCGTCAACTTCCCTTACATATTTAGTAATATTCCGTTATGACAAGCATATGTTGTCTATATCTCCCAATTTATTTGAGCATGCTTTAAGTACATTTAAGATTTAAATCAAGGCAAACTACTCACAAATAAGGTGATGTAATAGGACTTTCAACAATTTCCTTTAAAGTTGGCATTTGGTAAATTCAATGGTCGTTGATAAAGCACAAACACAACCTATTGATTGATTCTTTATTTTGACTGCATACCAGTACTTAAATCCATTGATTTTAAACTTGTGTTGCTTGAGGACGCGCATTGCTAGACTGCGCTGAACTCTCCGACAGCGACACTGACATAGAATTAAAAGGTAAATTTAGAAATAATTCATGCATACATTAATATGAAATCGATATCTTTCAATGTTTGGATTTTTGATCATGTTCTCAAATTAAGCAGACAAGTTTAAATTCATTTCACCTTTTTGCAGTTTTAACAATACATTATGATTACACGGTCATTTTTTTAATCCGAGGCAGGCTACTCACACGTAAGTTGATGTTATAAAGATTTCAGTAGCCTCCATCGATAAAGCCAGCATTTCGTAAATTCTATGGTCGTTATAATGAGCTTCTTAGCAAGCATAACCATCACTGGATTGTATTTTGGCTGACTTGTTTCATACCAAGTTAGGCTTTGTTGATTTTGTTTTACTAAATTTAACTACGAAATGCTCTGTCTAATTTTCAATACATAGGGCTTATGATAGAATGGCCGGTCAGGATCCTTACTTCACCTAGGCACCTGATCCATCCTCTGAAATTTCTGGGGGTCCGTGTTTATGCCATTTTCACAGATTTGTATTGTAGATATTTTGAGATTGATAACTGTTCGTTATCTTCACTTTTTCATTTTAATTACTATCACGATATCAAGTCACACACGTATCAAATAATGATGTGTGTGGCGGGGAGGGGGGTTAAGGATTCAGGGTGTTAATTTTAATTCAAACAATATTCAGAATACTGAATAGACTGGGCAACAGGCATAAAATGCCTATAAATACCCTCTCTATACAAGAAGGTGTTCACGAGTAGTTCTATATTCTGACTTACAATCGAAAGTGTATTAAGCTCTTTGTCCTCCACATTTTTCCAACTCATTAATAACCAACTACAGCAGTGGAAATTCCAACTTTTATTTCTTCCTGAGTGTTTCTTTTAAAAGCGCTGGAGGAAGGAGCAACTTTATTCTGAACATTCAAGCTCTACGTTGTCAACACCTTTATGTAAGGTAAGGCGTTTTTTCCATCATGCGTTTATTTCACCGTGCTTGTTTCAACAATTCTCTAATTTAATTCATGCGTTTATTGAATTGACAGTGTATTCTCGGTTGGTTTCCATTTCAGGAAAGAGATATTTCTTTATCATCTTAAATAAAAACCTCTTCCAAAGGCGGCTTCTAATTCTACAAGCATTTAATAATTATTTTGTTTAAATTTTTAGAAAATGCCATCAAAAGCGTATTTTTTACTTGTTTTGCTGTTCGTCGTAGGAAGTGCAGGTAATATATATATATATATATATATATATATATATATATATATATATATATATATATATATATATATATATATATATATATGTATATATATATATATATTTGTAAAAACATATAGGATAATTTAACACCACTCCAAGAAATCCCTTCCGATTTAGCTTTGAGCTGAATTTAATACAAGTGTTATCAACGCTAATCACCAAATCGGATCCCTAAGAGTGATTCGAGGTAATTGATGGCGGAATCTTGGAGAGGTGGATTTAAGGGAAAAAATACTTTTACAAATAATTTCATCGGATGTCATTGATAATTATAGCATTTATTTCCTTTAATATGATCAATTATTTTGATACCACATGTTCTACTTTTTTGCATGTGGAATTTTTTTCAAATTTATTTAGAATTTTTTTTAATTAATCTTGGAATTTAGCGATTTTTTATTTTGGCCTTAAAATATTTCTGAAAGGAGAATCCATAGTGTGCAAGTCCCTCTAAAACACCGCAAGTTACCCTGTACCCTGCATATTTTACTTATCCCTTGAGAAGTAGGTAAACATGGCCTATTTACACAATACCTACTACTCATTCAAAGGCAATATTTCTCAATATTTTAAATTTTAATTCTTTTTCACAGACACTCTCCTTCCAATCTATGCCCTAAAATCAGCCCATTCCACCCCGTGCACATCCTATGACATATTTTATGAAAAAACCCATGTTTGGCACTACTTGCGTCAATGAAATAGGGTAACGTTAGTAACCTGTGACATGCTAATATACTTTTAACATCAAAATAAGGGTTACAAATTCGAACATTTATTTATATTCCTTTTTATTTTACTTCGTTTATTGTTTACTTGTTTATTTTCAATAATTATACGTTTCATTCTAAATTCATCATTATTATTGAGCTGGTAGGATATTGAAATCATGCCCATCCCCTCCGCCAACCAAATAAAATTGAAAGGCCTCATATTGTTCTTTGAAAATAAAGTTTTAAAGATTTAATTTTAAATTTGTAAATGTTTGGATCCTTCCCTGGGTAATATAAAGATTAGCGTTTACTCTGCTTTGATTGAATTCAGTTTAAATTAAAGCTACACCGGATAATTAAAATCCACAGAATTTCTTCCCATAAACTTATGTATTTTTACCCTCATAAAGATGAGATCGAATATTCGAAGCAATTGTAATGAAAATCGCTTTTGAGATTGTTTTGTGTAATTAAATCTTTAATTATGTTTTAGTTATATCTTGGTTCTTATAAATTGCATTGAAACATCGAACAAGTCATGCTACGGCTGGGTCTTAGAGAGCTCGCGCCGACGAATTGTCAACACATTCTGTTAGTTTATTAGTTTTTAAGGATGACGCTTACTCACAGGACAAAAAAATGGAAAACCACCGCATGTATAGTATATTTGTCATCTTGAGGGAGAGATGACAAGTTACATTTGACACCTAGATATGAAACTCCCAGTGTAAGATAAGTTGGTGGTCTGGCAAATGACGCGATTTCTAAATATAGAGATGTAAACGAAACTGGCAGATTATAATTATTCATAATAAGACAGATCGCTCATTCCTTGAGCATGAAGACAGAATCTCTTAGGTAGTGGTGGGTGTACAAGTGTTCAAAATACCTTCAGTTATCTGGGCTATTTCGTAAATGATGATCAAGATGCACTAAACATGGCATCGAATTGATCAGCTACGGCGTGGATCCAAGAATTTACAGAAAAAACGAAATCAAAGTGGAAACAAATATTTGCACAAATACTTACATTTAATACTAACATACAATTGGTATGGATTGATGCCGAAGACATTACTTTTCTGTGTACTTCAGTCATTCAATAACTTGCTGCCATTTTTAAATAAAACAAATCTTATTTAGCGAATGTATTTCGAGGAAAAAAAAAATTAAGAAATTAATAGAACAATTAAGTAAAGCAGAAACATAGATGTCTCTGATCTAAGAATCTACAGTCACTTTTGTTCTATGAAAAATAAATGTCAGAAATACAATATTGTTTCTTCTGCATAATAGACGCAATTTTTTTCACCTGACTCACATTTTAAGGATTTATCATTTAAGCACCAGCTACCATTTTCTTAAGCAATTTTGAATGGCATTGTTGATTAATGGCAAAAACGATATCAAATCTCTTCTATTCTGAAAAAAGCCATAATTTTTATAATGATTGTTCCCTAGAACATCCAAAAATCAAGGTTGATGAATTTGGACTCTTTTCAGATAATTTGTAAATGCTTAATTTTAGCTGATAATGTATAAATTTTATTACTTATCTCTATTTGAATTATGGATGTCGACTACTCGACTGTCAGTCGAATGGACCGACGATCGAATAAGGAAACGGCATTCGAATAAATGCAGAAAAGTGATAACGAGATGGAATCCTCATCTCAAATTTGAAAAGAAAACGTCTCTTTTCAGAGACAGTCGATAACAAAAGATAATTTTCAACAAAAACTGTTGACTTTCCATGTACATGAAGAAAGTACAGTAATTAAAAATGCTTCACTACCGCGAGAATTCATAGGCGTCGGAACCCGGGGGAGGGGGGGGGGTAGCCCCCCTCCCCTCACTTTTTTTTCACGTTTCTATGTCATTTTTCTAAGTAGAGTGTACATGTACTTATATCATATAAAGCGTAAAAAATTGTATCTAAACAGTTTAAGGTTTTGATGTAGAAGTAGCTCACTTTCCCCTTTATATCCCCAGTAGCTCGATGTCCAAATCACTTAGCAGGATAGATTAAGGAAAATCTCTAGAAAGTAATTGAGGGCCGAACTTATTTAAGCTAGCCCTTTAAAACTTTTTGGCTGCTGTCAGAGTAAGCTGCTGTGAAATAAAGTCAAAAGAAACAATGTTTACAAATCTTACGAATATTGCTTAGTGGTTACAACTTTGAAATACATTGTACAAAAAATACTTGAAATGAATAAAATATATTTTCACACAGGCTAACTAATACAGGCTGGTGTCATCAGGATAGCCACACCCTACCAACTTATTTCAAAAGTTGCAAATATTCACTGAGAGCCCCCCCCCCCCCCAGCCCACACTTTTTGTTGCAGTAGATTCATATCCTCCCCCAAATAAATGTGTTTTTCGAAAAAAAAAGTCAAAAAGTTTCAATTCAATCTTCACTACATTTTAAGCTAGTGGCCCCTTAGTTAGAATGATCTTACTGTGTCTTGGGACAAGCCCTCACCACAGTTAGAATGCCTCCCAAATACTGGCAATGTAGCAAAAAAAATTTAACAGTACCCAAATCTTACAATTTTATGTCTACCCATATTTATAAAAATGATTCAAAATACCCGGAAAAGAAAGAAACTATTGGGCCTAGAAGGCATACAAAGGCAGAAACAACAAAATAGAGAGTGAAAATTCGAAATGATAGTGGAACAATTAAAGAACTAATATTAATTATGTTGATAAGAATACACATAATTTTCATACAAATTAACATGAAAGGAAGAAAAAAAATATATAATAGTAGTAATGATATTACACAATAAAAGTACATGTACTACAGACTGGTTTATTGTTATTTCTCATGATAAATCAACTTTTCTTCGTTTAAAACAGCTATAAATGTTTTATGAACAACTTGTGATAACATTATCATTTTCATTACTAATAAGTCATATAAACTTGTTTCTATTAGATAAAATTGTTAAATTCTTACAGATAGTATTCATAGTCTCTATGAATGGGTCTAGTTTAATTCAAGTACCATGACTAAATGACAATATCCCTTTTTTATAGATAAATATCTAATTAAAAAATATTGTAAGGTCGAATAAATCAAGATGACTTTTTTTTCTCACTTTTTACATTTTTTAGATAACAAACAATCGGAGAAAGCTGAATTCACTACACAATTGGAGGATTCACAACATAGCGGCATTGAAAGGTGAAAACTACAAATAATCCTGATGTTTTTAATTTATCAATTTCCTACAAAGAAATTCTACCATCGGCTAAGGAATTTCATTTTCCTTCGGATTGAAATGTCGCTTTTTAATGGTTTGAACACGATACATGACTGCTGCATATATGTCTATGTCCTGCGCGTGAGAATTTAACGAGGCCGAGTCTAATTCTTTCTACCTCAGAGATGTTGATAAATTTTCTTGAATTAATTTTTACTATTATATCTATTGTTTTGATATTTAAAAATCGAATGTTTGCCGTCCCGATTTCTTAGGGGGCCATCTCAAAAGTTGTCAAATTGTACTATTGGTCCCTTTGGGAATTTGTTGGAAAAGCGCCAAATTATCACATTTTTTCCTTTTTTTTTTTTTTTTTTTTTTTTTTTTTTACCTTAGAGATTTTTTTTCAGCCAAGCACATAAAAGTTATCGTAAAAAGTTGCCAAATTGTGAAATTTCAAAAAAGTTGACCATCTAGGTTGGTCTAGGAATTATTACAAAGTTTATTTTTTCAATGCCCAATACCTCTAAAATTGCCATATTGCTGTATAAAAAGATATCGGCGCAGATGAAATTTTGGTAAAAAAAAATAGCAATGTTTAGATTGCTAGTATGTTTCTTTTGATGTTCTGTCAACAGTTTTTAGTATAATATCCATGGACGTCTTGAATATACAAGCGAATCATGTGTCATTCGTCAGCGTCATGCATTGCTTACAAAATAGGAAAACAGTGACGTCGTTAGAGCCATTTCAGTGGTTTTTTCCTAATAATTGTCGTACAAGCACATTTTCAGATCCATATGCGTTACAGACAATGTTAAACTTGTATTAAAATCACAATATTTGGGAAAGGTGTAATGTCGCACATATAACTGCATGAAATTAAAAAGCTGCGCAAAGTCATGCGCACTCGAATTAGACTCGGCCTCGTTAAAAATATCTGGGTTATATGGCAGACGATTCTTTCAGAAATCATTTATTATGGAAACCATTTTCCATAATTTTTGCTTTTTGAAATGACGTCAGATATAATGTGTTTGCATCACAAGTGATGGTAGTGTCAAGACTTGCTTTAAAGAGAGGAAAAATATTTAAAATTAATCAGAATCAAATTATTTCAAGTAAATAAAGATTTCTTACATATTTTTCAAGATTACTTGACGGTTAAAGGTGAAATCTATAATTTTAAAGAGTTTGGACGGAGCCTTGTCATCTATGAGATTAATCAACTCGATATATTCATGTAGATGGTCAGTAACAAACTTAATATGTGATTTATTTACTAAACATGATAGTTTTAGACACTTGAACACCTAAGAAACGTTATACGTAATACTAGTAGTGGATATCTAGTTCTTTCAATAGTTGCCTACAGTCAGAATTATATTTCCAACATAGAGTGAATGGGGGTGAGATTTCATACTTTAAATTCTAAAATGTCGTAAGATCCTTTTTTTAAAAGACGATTACTATTCGTAACTTTCACCTTTTTCATTCCTGGAAATAGTTTTTGGAGACCAGAACTTCCAACAATCTGTTAGAATTTCAATGGGCACTAATTGCGCCCCCTTGTTACCAGACCTATTTTTTGTATTCATATGATTCTGAATTTATTCAGAATCTTATACATGAGAAAAAGAAATCTCTTACTGTGGCCTTCTACTCGACATTTAGATATATCGACGACGTATTATCAATTAACAATAGTTATTTCCATTCATATGTCGACACATATATCCCAGTGAGCTTGAAATAAAAGATACCTGGGAGTCTGACACATCTGTTTCATTTTTGTATATCTTACTAGAAAAAGACGTTAATGTTAAACTAACAACAAAGCATTATGATAAACGTGATGACTTTAACTTTTCAATCGTCATCTTCCCTTACCTATGCAGCAATATATCCTTATCACCTGCATACTTGGTTTATATCTCTCAGTTGATTCGATAAGCAAGAGCATGAACAATATCTAAAACGAGGTTAGTAATTTACAAACAAGTTGATGAAACATGAATATCAACAGTCTCGTTTAAAGTCATCATTTTGTAAGTTCTACGGTCGATACAATGACCTTGCCAGCAAATACAATCTATCATTAAGTCATATGCTGACTGAGGTTTTTCATACTAATTTTTAGGCCATTATTTACACACTGAATTGTCGAATGATTTTTCCGTTATTTACCGATCATGACAAGGAGCACACGGTGGGTGTGACCTGTCGGCAGGGGATGCTCACTCCTCCATGGCGCCTGATCCCACCTCTGTTTTCCGAGGTCCGTGTTTGCTCTGCTCCTGATTTGTATTGTTTTAATGGAAATTGGGCTCGAATACTGTTCGTTATCTTCATATATATTTCATACATTAAAACTCGTTATAAGTTATGATCAATCTTTGATATTCTGAGTAATATTTCGCAAATTGTAAAGCAATGATTGAAGCAATATGAGCTGCAACTTTGATGTCGGAAATTTTTGTTGCAAAATTATAATTAACTATTTCAATGACAGGAACTAAGAACGTTTATAAAATTCTGTTGTACATATTTTAGATGGAGGAACTATTTTTAAGCTTCGGTTTAAGCAGAATTACATTACTGTCGTCCTGTACAATATTAATTCCTTATAATTCCTTATATAATACTACATATTTGATTGTACAGAAGTCTTTCTTCAGAAACTATTTAATACTTTAATTAAGTCAAATTGATCAAAAAGTTCAAATAACCTAAAAATTTATCAAAATAGCACATTTAAACAGCAAAAATTGAATTCTCAAAATGCAGCTCATATTGCTTTAATTGCGGTTAGTTTAGTTGTAAGAATCTTCTGTTATAGACATCGATATAAAAGGGGTCTTTTTGGAGTTGAAGATCTATACTTCCGGCAATATTTCCAAGATAAAGGACTTCTTCAAAACTACATAAACGCCAGAACACCAGATGGAAGAATAACAAACTGGAGGTCGTTGGGCGATGGATCAACTTCATACACTGATGCCATTCGAAGATCTACAAATTATTATAAAGTTCAAGCAGAAAGTGGTGCGTATGATGTAAACTTTAAAGAGAAAAGTATGATAAGGTAGCTTATATATTAAGTTCGGATATGTTTAAACCTATCGTGTTTCGAAAGAAGACATTTATTTGAACATTTTAAACTTGGAATACAAACACACACACGCACGCATTTTTATACACACCCTTTCATACAAACATCCCCCCCCCCCCACACACACACACACACACGACCTCACACACACTTATATATATTTGAGCTTGAAAACTGTTCGTTATCTCCATAAATTTTATATAACATCATCAATAAAATAATTAGTAGTGAATTTTTCATCAACAGTAAATAAAGTCAAAGGGTATCAAATGCAATGGGTGAAATATTAAATATCCAAGGGACTTTAATTTTGTGAATATAATTATCTAGATCAAATAGATTCACTTCGGAAGTTTGTATCATTAATAATATTTTGTAAATTGTTTTGCGAAGGAATTGATAAAAAAGACCGATCAAGTCCACCGATACAATAAATACTAAAACTTAAAAAATAAGATGATAAAACCGACCATAGAATTTACAAAATGCTAACATTAAATGAGGTTGTTGAAATTCCTGTCATAGCAACTTATCAGTGAATAGCCTGCCTCAGATTATTTAAGGAATCACTGTCTAGTTAGTAGAGTATGCCAGGGCATCAACGATAGTTGGAAACGTGGGATAATTTGCATAACGGGCGAAGCCCGTTATGCATAAATTATCCCACGTTTCCAACTATCGTTGATGTCCCTGGCATACTCTACTAACTAGTCAGTGATTCCTTATATTTCCATTTCATAGTGAAATAAAATTGTAAATTTAGATTTTAAAAATGTAGACTAATAGATTTAAATTACACGAGGCCTCACATGTCAATTTCAATAGTCCCCGCCCACTGACGTCAAACACAAAGACAGCCGCATAAGAATTACATGCATATTAGGCCTAGTCAGACACAAAGACAGCCGCACGAGAATTACATGCATATTAGGCCTTCTTAGCTCCTGACCTTTAGCTTGGCGAAATTTGCATTCCGGTGGAATGATCAAGAAATCAACTCTCCTAACTTTCAAAGAGTTATCACAGAGAAAACAAATAGAAATGGAAATATAAATTGATCATTCTCAGAGCTTGCCCTCGAGTATCGAATAAGTTAGGAGATGTAAACAGCATATGAAGGTGATAGCGGGATATAACTACGTAAACAATGGTAAAGCTAAAGTCATCTCGATTGTCATAAAGTTTAGTTGTTTGTTGGCCCTTATCGTCAATACTCAGAAAAATATGCAGTTATAAAACAGATCTGGGAAGCTCTGTTGCGTCTTTTTCGAGTTCACTGTGACATATCGAGTCGACATATGCAGGGTTCTCCACAAGGGGTTTTACCATGGCCGCCCGCCATGATTAAATTTATGTGCGCCATGGTAAACGAGCTGCGCCATGGTTAAAATCGGCGGCCGCCATGATTAAATTTTATTGCATTTCAGTACTGACACTTAATTCTTAATGACCTGAGTAGTTAATTGTGTTTATACTACATGTACGGCTTGCAAAGCTGACTCTGCGTGCTAAACAAACACGGTCGTTGATCGGCGAATACCGTGAAGCGTGACAATTGAGAGTCAATCAGTTGATGATCAATATCTTTAGAGTTAATTTTTCTGTACACATGTAATTTCGGGGAACTTCAAACGTGTTCACTATATACATGCAATAACAAATTCACAAAACATAACACCGCGCAGTAACGTAACGATGTCTAATAATCGACAAGCATTCGAATCAAGTTTTTGTGGCCAAAAAGAATTTTCCTATCCCTTGTATTTAATTAATTCCTCTTGCTCTGTTTTTAAATATTAATTTTATTATTTTTCTGATTAATCACCACGTCCAAGTTTTAGAGTTATCTCCCGTTTTTTATGAAAAGTCGCGTGGCGCTATTTTTAGCAGTGGGGCACATGTAGAAGAAATCGGCGAAAAAAGCAGTGTATAAAAACTTTTAGAAAGAACAGAACACAGAAAGCAATGTTACAGTTATTTCAAATTTATGCCCCTGATTATATTAAGTTTTGAGACTTATACCATCAGTAAGTTAATTTCAAAGACGATGCAGTTAACATGCTTAAAAGCTCAGGCAATGTTAAGATGTCGGCGTTCGTTCGTGAGTTCGTTTGTGTGTCTGTAATTTTTTTTTTTCCAAAATACTATTCCTTTTCCTTCATCAGTTTTGATCCTATTTAAATAAAACTTTTCATGCGACAGGCAAGATCAATTCTGTATATTAGTTTTTGAATAAAATTCGACGAACATTGTTGCAATGTTTACTAAAAAATGTATTACAGTTTTTGTTTTTTTTTTAAATATGAAATTCCTTTAAAATGATTCTACAGCTTTGGTCCAATTTTGGTACATTTGGTACTTTTGTAAATAAAGATACATAATCCTTTTTATTGTTTTATTTTTATTTATTTTCTTTTCTTTCTTTCTTTTTTTTTTTTTTAATTTTCGGGGGGGGGGTGTATTTCATTTTCTTGTTTTGCAATGGTTATGTTTTGTGAAATCAATCATTTATTATTAAGCTTAGAGAGTCTAACATGTGTTCGTGCTTTCGATCACATTTCCCTTTCGCGCAGCTTCCTCCATGGTTAAATTTTCAAATGTGGAGAACCCTGCATATGAATGGAATTCGAAGTAGCTATTGTTAATTTATTTTCTGAATAAATTCAGAAATTCTAGTTCACAAGCATATAAAAGCAGACGGCTAATAGAGGAACAAATTGTTGAAAGACCTTGTTTCCAAAGACTATATAGATTTTGCATTGAGGAACTCCAACATTTATTTTAATACATTCACATTTCCAAAAAAAAAAAAAATCCTTAAGATTCTCTGCAAATTAGAAAAAGTTCACGTTCTCATGAACTACCGTTGAATGGGTGAGAATATTTCTATTGAGATGTGATTGAAGTCAAAAAATAGTGCAAACATTTTTTTTTTCAAAAATGATCGTTGAATGACAAAAATGTGTAGCAAGTCACCAGAAAAATAATACAAAATATAAGATATGAATATAATTTTTGAGAATTCATCAAGTACATAAACTACGACGTTTCACGCCTGCATATTTATCATGAAGCTAACGCGCTTCATAAAATATGCCAATGTGAAGCGTCGTAGTTCCTAATGAATTCTCAAAAATTAAATTCATCTCTTAAATCAACCTACCAGCAGCAACAAAATGTAAACTTAGAAGAAGATGATAAAAAGGGCTTAGGGCTAGATCAAGAGATTCTTTGGTGATGAGATAGGTAATAAGCATATAAATTTAACAAGCAAGAGTACATGTATACCTTCATTAAAGTCCGTGTGTCGCGCTAGTTAAAGTCACGGGTTCGAATACCACTGCGAGACGTGGAGAGCGTTCTTTTGGATGAGACCATATAAACCGAGGTCACGTGTCGCAGTAGGTATTGGCACGAAAACAATCCCCTACTGCTCAATGGCCCTAGGTGCCGAGTATAGGACTAAATTTGCAGCTCTCCACCGGCAAGTGGTAGCGTCTCCTTAAGAGATGAAGTTTATTTTTGAGAATTCATATCTCTAGTCAAGACAATGTTTTCAGTTTGAACTCTTTTTTTTAAATCGAGGCAGGCTAATGACAAGTATGTTAACGGTATGGGTAACAAACTCGATTAGAATCAATATTTCGCAAATTCTACGGTCCTTATAATGATCTTCTTTACAAATACAACCTTTGGTTAGGGGTACTTTGTCTGACATGTTTTTCTCCAACTGTTAATGCGTTGCTATTATACTTAATTTAACAACGGATTTCTTCATCTACCTGATCAATACATAGGGCTCTCGGCGAGTGTGACCTGTCCACAAGGGATGCTTACTCCTCCTAGGCACCTGATTTCACCCATGGTGTTTTCAGGGGTCGGTGTTTATGCCCTATGTACACTTTATATTCTTTGGATTTATGAGATTGATCACTAATCTTCAACCTTCACATGAATCTTAAGCTTATTTCTTTTATGGATATTTGCTTCTGCTCAAATTTCAATGTTCGTATAGGCCAACTTCTATACAATTCCGAAAGACTGTAGCAACACTAGCTTTGTTTCCAACAACTGGACTCCAGAAGTCAATTCATTTTTTAATGTAATAGAATCATGAAATTCATACTGTACGTGTATAACAAGAACAGAATTGGAGAGTAGGGAACCAGAAAAACGATATATAGATAGAGCCTTATATATTTGTGCAAAACATCAAACCAACTATTGTGTATAATTTTAATTTCAATTATGTTTTTTAAACTTTAATATGTTTTAAAAATTAATATAGGTCAAAATGTGGATGGCCAGTTGAGACGTGTTCAACAGATTGTAGATGACCGGGTCGCCCGAGCTAGCCGTTACGGAGGTCCAGATCGAGGACATAACCATGCGATCAACAACTGGCGAAATGGACAGGAACAAATTCAAGGAGGCCAGCGGACCTACTGGAACAGGTGTGGTCGGTCCAATGGGCGCAAGAAAAGAGGAATCGGTGCATTATTCCGTGGCATTGCACGTCTCTTAGGTCGCCGAGGTTTAAGACGTACACGTACTGGATTTAGACGTACAAGCACTGTCAGAAGAATGAGATGTTGATCAAGAGAAGAATGAGACTTTGAGTCTTAAAACATTGCTAGAAGCTTATGCATTAACAAATAAAAAACAATACTTATGGCTTAACTCTGATATATTCTGTCAAACTATTATATGGAAAGCTTTATATATTTTCTTTACTCAACTATTTCTCAATAATTAATCTATATTTTTCATGTAATAAGGCATATTCAAAATTAATTCCCAATTATTTTATCAATAAAATTTCACTACCACGTGGGTTTGTTGTAGCTGCAGAACTGTAGCTCTTTGGTTGAGAAAATTCGAACAGACAAACCAGAATTTTAAGATACATGTATCTTATGCCAGAAATTTTATTCTCCTTAGAGATTCAATTTCTATTCACAATTAGATAATGACTAGATGCTGTCACAAGACAGTGATATCTGCACATACAATGTATGTTTTTGTCTCTAAATACACTCTCCTTCATATTTAGAGAATCAGGGAAGAAGCCACAATAATTCTAAAATTTACACAAAATGTATACATGCATGCATGTCTGATAAATGTACAATGCTCAAGTGAGGAATATATTGGGGGGGGGGGGTTAAAAAAAATAAAACAAGAGGCCCGTGGATCAATCAGTTATAGCTGCTCACAGTTATGTAATATTAAAATATCGTAATATGGAAGTACAAATGGAAGATGTACAATACCATATGTAGCATATGTATGATACTCGTAAAATTCAAGATTTATAACATATCCGCAATTTTCTGAAACTGGATCAAAAATATTGAGTTTGTAGAAAACGACATGAAGATATAGAAAATGATTTAAAGTTACCATAGCAGCATACTATTTAAAAAAAAATATGTTTGATAGATACACAGTGTAGCCTATGAAACTATAGGAATATCATATAAAACTCGGAACTGTATGGGAAAGGGTTGGGGGGGGGGGGGGCTATGGGGCTAAAGCTGACAAATCCTGCACTATATGTGAACACCCCCCCCCCCCTTACCTTTCTTCAAAATATCACTTGTCACATACATCTTTATTATATTGCATACGAAAGTATGAAATTAATTGGAAAAATAAACAATACAAAGGAAATTTATAATAGTAACAATTGAGAAAGAGAGGGAGAGAGGGAGACAGAGAAAGAGATTTGAGAGAGGGTTATAGGGGAAGGTGAAATAGGGAGAAAAAAGTGTATGATATAGAAATGTCTGTTAATTAAAGAACCCCCACCCTCACCCCACCCCTATTCAACTTGCTTCTGACGAACTATATGGCTATGCATTTATTTTATGGTCCGCGTGTAACACTTAACAATTTAAATTTTTAAAATGATTTAGAGTTTTAGTATTTTGATCTATTAGTTCAAATTTCTAAATTTCAAAAACTTAAACTGATTTTGTATATTGAGATTTAATATTTAAGATCAAAAATCTAAATTTTCAAATTTACAAACAGGTATTTTTTTTTTTTTTTTAGATTTTTACCTTCAAATTTCCAATAACAATTTTTGTATTTTAAACTTTTGAGTTTTTAATCTACCGTTTGTTAAGAAAGTTTACGCTTAACAATCTAAAATTCAGTTCCATTTTTCATCTTTTGGTTATTTAAAATTTACTTCAAACTTCTATATTTCAACTTTCAAACATTTTACATTTTTTGGTAATTTAGAATTTCGATTCAACTTTTAAATATCCAAAACACTTGTAACATTTTGAGTTTTTAGACGTATACTTAAAATATAAAAATATAAAATTTCCGACCCCGCTTTGATTGTTGAAACACGGTCGATATCACATTATTTGATCACAAGCTCTTGGGGATTGGACACCCCCCCCCCTTCCCCTTTTTTTTAATCTGGGGTCGACACACCTTTGTCCTATTTTTGTATTTTAATAATCACTACCTGATATTGAAAATGTAAAACTTTTGTCTCAATAATTAAATATATCGTTTTCGACTGATACACAAAAAAAAAGTTTTTATGTATCAGTCGAAAACGATATATTTAAAAACAGCTTATTGAGACAAAAAGGGTTACATTATCAATGAAATATGTGGAGATAACAAACAGTATTCAAACTCAAAAGTCCATTAAACATTACAAATTAAGAGCAGAGCAAACACGGACCTCTAAGACATCAGAGGTGGGATCAGGTGCCATGGAGAAGTGCGCATCCCCTGCCGACCAGTCACACCTGCCGTGTGTTCCTTGTCATGATCGGGAAATAACGGAAAATCTGTCGACAATTCAGTGTGTAAATAATTTGTATGAAAAAAGTCAGTCAGCATTTGGCTTAATGATAGATTGTATTTGCTGACAAGGTCATTGTATCGACCATAGAACTTACGAAATGACGACGTTAAACGAGATTCCTGATATTCTTGTTTCATCAACTTGTTTGTCAATAACTTGCCTCGTTTTAGAAATTCTTCATACGTAGAGCATGCTCTGGCGTATCGAATCAACTGAGAGATATAAACCTGTATGCAGGTGATTAGGGTACATGGCTGCATAAGTAAGGGAAGTTGACGATTGAAAAGTTAAAGTCTTCACGTTTATCATAAAGCTTTGTTGTTAGATTACAATAAACTTTTTTATCTAATAAATTATCCAAATATGAAACAGGTGTGTCAAACTCTGTGGTATCTTTATATCAATCTCACCGGGATATATCGTTTCGACATAAGAATGGAAATAACCACTGTTAATTGACAATACGTCGTCGATATATCTAAATGTCGAGTTGAAGGCCCCAGCAAGCGACAGCAAGTGTTTTCTTCTTTTCACGTAAAACATTTTGGACAAATTCTGCTTCATATGAATACAAAAATAGGTCTGCTAATAACGGAGCGCAATTGGTACCCATGGGAATTCCAAAAGATTGTTGGAAGATCTGGTCTCCAAAAACTACATATACTAGTATATTGTCAATCAGAAACTCGAGCATCTTTTTAATGTCAACTTCAGTGTACTTGTATGTACAATCAGATTGTAATTTTGCAAATAACCAATGACATATACTCTTTCTCCTTCACTACTGTTAATATCTTAGTGAGGAGTAAAGAAAGAGGCTTAGTAGAACATTTACCGGAACTCGCTATGTATCTTTGTTTGTGAGGATTTTTTTTAAGTTTCGTATCCAATCCAATATAGATATGGTAATTCAAATTCAATTTGGTTGTTGGGAATATTAAAAATACTCAAAACTGACATATGATTTTGAAGAATTTCCTCCTTAGAAAGGGAGCTATGGGTATAAGTTGAATTACCATTTGTATAATCAAATTCCAGTAACTGTTCCTCTAACATACAATTTATATAATGAGCCTTAAAAACAAACACAATGTTGTTACCTGCTTTGTCAGCAGGGTCCAGTACATACTGATCGTGTAATCTATCTAATTCTTTTTTCACTTCTGAATAGAAGCTTTTCTGGCCCAGTGGTTCTTGAGGAGAAGATTTTAAAAGATTTTTCTTATATATTTCAATGTAAAAATTTATTTCCTATATTGTATCATGGCCCCGCCCTACCCACTGGGGGGGGGGGGGGTGTCATGATTTGAACAGTTTAAAATCTACACTACCCCAGGATGCTCTTACATAAGTTTCAGCTTTTCTGGTCCAGTGGTTCATGAGAAGAGGATTTTTAAAGATTTTTCCTGTATATATATATATCAATGTAAAAATTGTATTCCCCATTGTCTTCGCCATATCTCGCCCTACCCCCAGGGATCATGATTTGAACAATTAAGAATCTACACTACTCCACGATGCTTTACAGAAGTTTCAGCTTTTCTGGCCCAGTGGTTCTTGAGAAGAAGATTTTTTAATGACCCTACCCTATTTTTGTCTTTTCATGATTTTCTCACACCATCAAATAGTTTCCTATAGACGTCCATACAAAGTTGAGCCCCGTCACTGATTCATATATTGAAATTTGGGCAAATGACTTTCTTGCCGTGAATGTTCGAGATCTTGCAAAACAAAACATGCCAGAAAAAATATACCGAGCAGCAGCACTTTTACTTTCAAATTCCATTTGTGTACAAATAGGTGCGTTCAGCACCAAATGAAAATCCCTAACCAAAGAGCACCCCTCCCTTCAAATTTTTACCTGTAACTCCTATATATCTAAACGAAGTCTAAGTCTTGGTATGAGACGTATATCATCTTTATTTCACTTGTCAAATACATAACAAGTCTTTTCTCATAATGACCAATCATGTGCTCTGTGGCATTTTATTCTCCGCACAACTTTTGAGCGTCCAAAATGTCTGCGCCCATGTATATGGATATGTAGGTGTTTTTCCATCACGGAAGTGAAATTGAAAGGAGCGCTCGTCAACTCGTTCGAAAGCTATCGTAATATGACAAAATATTTTTATTTTGAGGGCACCAGAAACACATATACGAGGGGCATTTGAAAAGTTCTGAGAACTGTTTGATAAAATATTAACCATTTCACGGAAGTCAATAAATTTGATACCATTGAAAAGAGCTAGAAAATTTGCACTTATTTGGATGTCACTTTTTTTTTATTTTTATGACGTTATAACTACGAAAATGACGTCAGAATCTCGAATGTTTAGCATACTGAAAAGTCGCGTTTTTTGTCAACATGAGAAGATCGGAAAAGTGCTGTCAAAGGCTTCTTTGAAAAGATATTTTCAAAGAAAATTTGTATAGAGGTAGAGTAAGACTGAAAGAATGGTACCGTTTATCAGCAATTCCATATTTTATTTTATGGTTGGTTTACAAGCACGGTTATGCTATCATAGGCATTCATTTACTATTTTTACTTACATGATACAGCTTTTGGTCTATTATATAGCTCTCCACTGTATTAAACAAAACATGTTCTGTATAAAACTAAAATATATCAATGCCGTTTTCCACAAATGTATCTTGGGTAACAGGACTCTTACCATTTAGAAATAAAACGTACAAAAGTCTTCCCCCGGACTTGTTTCAGTGCATATTTTTTTTCATATTATTTCAACTTCGGCGCTCCAAATCTCACTATTGCTTTTGACTTTCGACTCAAAAAAATGAATCTGAGTTACATTGCCATCTACAAACTTATTTATTTCCA